CGCCTGAAATACTGACTTTTCTCTGAGAAAAGGATGTGTTTTTTCATCGCCTCTTCCTCTCCATCATAACAGGTTTTGATCATACAACCAGGGCTTGAACTTTTTATTACAGAAGTCTCCAATTTGGCACAAACCAGCCACAGGGCTGCTGTATACTGGTTTTGTAACAAAAGCAAAAGCAGCTGTTGCAGCTCCTGTGAATTGAGAAGAAACAAACTGTTGATTAAACATTGCGGCCTAGTTTTGTGAACTTTTTAGGTTTTGTTTACCTTTTTTTGTTCTAACAGGTATTCATTTCAGTTCTGGACTGTCAATGGCTGCAGAGACTAGGAAGGTTTCTGGCCACTTCCCTCTTCGTCTCTCCCCAGTCTCAGCTCCCTGCCCCACAGAATAGCACTGACGTTTGTATGTCGCACGTCCCTTCAGAGGCTTTGTTTTGTCCTGTTCATAGAGAACGTTTTCTGCAGGTCCTACACAGTGAAACCTTTGAAACTTTATGTTTTTTAAAAATAAATGTCACTGGGGGGGAGGGGGTTTCTGCTAAGGGCTGTACTTGTAATAAATTGGAAACTTAAAAATAAACATTATGTACTTGTGTTTGTAAAATCGTCTTGCAGCGAGTCTTTTGCGGGTGCCCTGTGTTTGTGCGGGACTGTCTGGGATGTGCCACCTCTGCTTCCCCGGAGCCCTCCTCAGACATGATACCGCTGCCTGCCAGAGGGAAAAATGAGCCAGGGAGCAGGGAGTCTGGGTCAGGTCAGCTTACAAGTCCGGAGAGCCAAACTCCTGCTTGGGTTTGGTTATACCAGCCCCTGGGCTGTGCCTGAGTTCCCCGTATCGCAGCCCGGTTGGGCCGTGCCCTCTGTGCCAGGGCTGCTGGCACACGCCATCCTTCTTCCTGAGCTGTGCTGGGCAGGAGGTAACGGGCTGCTGTGGACATGTGTGCTCCGTGCTGGCCGAGTTTATCGTCCTCCCCAGAGACAAGGGATGCGGCTGTGCTCTTCCTGCCCCCCGCACAGCAGGAGGTCACCATGATGCGGGAGCCATCCTTGGGCCCACCACCCCTTTCGGTCTCTTGTGGGCTGCTGGTGTGACACATCCTCCTGCCACAGGGTGCAGGGTGGCACTGGGTCACTTTCCTGAAGGGGATGATGGGGGAGCTGAAATGTCTCTGCTCTTTCACCGCAGCGTTGCCTGGCTGGCCATCCAAACCGCCGCCCTCCTCCCATTCACTTGTGCGTGGCGACCGCAGCCTCGTGGGCTGCAGCTCGGAGCTCAGCAAGGACCGTTCCCGCTGTGTGTCTGAAAGCGCGACTCCCAGCCCACCACCCTGGCCTCTGGCAGCCTGATGGGGTCACACTGGGCCCTGACATCGTGAGCTTCAGCGGCAGCATGGGCCGGGAAGGCAATGAACCAGCGCTGACATACAACCCATCATCTGTGAAACGAGTGTGTCGGCCAAGTTTTGCCTGTGTTTCTGCCAGTGCTGCACTGCCAGGAGGGCGATGGTTTCCTGGGTGTCTTCACAGCCTTCCTTGTGTGTGCTCCAGCCAGGTCCAGCTCTGCTGGGCAGAGGAAATCTGATGGGTTTGAGGGCTCGAAGGCTCTCAGCGATGGACGGATGCTGCGTTCCCCCGGGAAGCCTCATCCCCTCCCCACAAGAAGTGGTTTGTCTTGCTGGGCATGCAGCAGGACCTGGGTGAATCAGTGTGACTCAACCTGGGACATTTCCAGGCCTCAGCGTGGAGACCTCACACCAGCATCTGCTCCGAGACCTTTTCAGAGACTTGCTTTTTATAGCAGCCCCTGCATGGCATCAGTGTCCTGTGCAGGGGCTATAAATAGCTGTCCCCACGCCTGGCAGGCGAGTGCATGGGGCTGGCACCACAGGCTGGGGGACAGTCACCAGCCTGGCTGCACCCACCATCTTCCCGGGGCTGGCCCGGGACAAACCCCAGTGGGACACCTGTTTGCTGGAGTTCCACCATAGCCTCAGGAGAAGGCCATGGGGGCACAGCAGGTGAGAAGCCTTGAACATGGGTCTCCCCTTGGCTTCCTCATGGCTTAATCATTATTAACCGATTAATATTTTGGGTAACTTGGGGTTTTTACCATGTTCTCAGAGTGCAGCGACTTTCCTTCTACTCAAAACCTGGAAGGAGCATCATGCCTTGGGATGGAATAACATCCACAGGTCAGTGAGTGCTGGGCCGCACTAGGTTCGACTTCTCCACGCTTAGCTGGACCAGGACCGTGGGGTGTCCTGAGCCCACTCTCACCCAGTGGCAGCCCTGGCTCAGCCTCTGCAGCCATCCCTCCTGCTGGTGCTGGGGACGGGCAACCATGGCAGTGGTGCCCAAGCTGGGGGAGGCTGCTCCTGCAGGGATGGGGCAGTGCTGAGAATGCCCCTCGCAGAGGGGCTTCTGCAGCTGCCTCAGCCCTGCTGGAGCCAGGTGTTTGGCTGGGGCTGCTCCAAGTTGGATGGAGAAGGGATGCAAGGATGAGCTTGGGGTGGGGGGATACAGAGCAAGACTGAGCTGCCCCAGCACAGGGTTGAAAGCAGCTGTGACAAGGGGACAGGTGGCACAGAGCCCTTCCAAAGTGCAGCTCCGGTTTGGGGCTGGCTCCGTGGAAGAGCCATGTCTCCCGAGTGGGGCAGCTGCCAGCCTCTGGCGTAGTCGGCTGGGCTGCCAGGGCTGATAGCGCAGGGTGGTCGGGCACCAGAGGCCCCGCTGCTGCCCGACAGCTGGGAGCCCGGCCGGACCGCTTATCTGGGTGAGCGCTCGAGAGGCAGCGAGAAAAAAAGGCGCTCAGGGGCACCCTGTCCTCGCCGGGCCCCGCGAGCCAGGACACGTGCATGCCCCAGCGCCATCGCCGTGCCTGCCAAAGGTGCACCAAGCTGGCTGAGGGCTCAGCCCTGCGGGGTTGCTGCCTGCAGCCCAGGGAGCGTCCGGCACACAGGCTGTATCCCTAGCACTGGGACACGGCCCTGTGCCCCCTCCCCGGCAGCCCCTGCCCCATGCTGTGCCCAGCTCCCTGAGCTGGACTTTGGAGCCTGTCCGGCAGCCAGTGTTGACTCTCCTGCCCCATGTCACGGCCCTTTTATCCTCCCAAACAAACCTTCCCATGGCATCACCATCAGCCTGGGTGCTCACCCACACTCTAAGAGCCCATGGGCACAGCAGGGGGGGGCACACCTATTCCCAGCACCCCAAATCAGGTGCAAGCCCCTCCCTCGGTGTGCCCCCACTGCTGGCACCAGGCATCCTTCACATCTTGGCTGCCACACCAGCTCCGTGGGGGAGGTGAAGGCTTTTCCTACATCAGTCACTCGACTTCTCCCGCCGTACCAGCACCCCCAGGGGCAGCGGGGGTGCAGATGAAAGGCACTTCGTGGTATCAATCACATCACATCAATCACAGCAGCACAAAGGCCCAGCAGGGTGGTGGGCGAGGGGCCGCCAAACCCAGCTCCTGCCACCACCTCCAGCTCAGGGCAGGGTCGGGGGGTCTCATACCTCTGCTTCAGCTGCGGCTCTGAGCCACGAGGGCTATGCCAGGGCCAGGGCCAAGGGCTGCCGGTGGAGGTGGGCAGGGGTGCTAATTCAGGTGCTGAAAGGAGGGTCCTTCTCAGGCTTGTTGCTCCCTGGGCAAGAGGGACAGGAGGTCCCAGAGATCCTCACTGCCCCAGCCTGCATGCCGGCTAGTTAACAGGCAGTTAGATGATGGACACGTCTGAGCATCACCAGGGCTGCCTGTGTTCCTGTTCAGCCCCTTGCCCACTGTGGGGTCAGGGCAGACCCCATCTTTTTCCCCTGGCACTGGGTACCCAGCATATATCCCCAGAGGCAGCCGGGCAAACCAACCCCCCCGACCCTCTGCAGGGATGAGCTGCCCTCCACCAAGGTGTCTCAGGGCAGGGTGGGCAGTGGCCCTCACCACTGAGCCCCTGGCAGAGCCACCCTGCCTGGGAGGATGGTGGCACCCAAAAAAAAGCCCCCCCCAGCCCCCCCCGCCAGGCCCGGAGCACCAGCTGAGGCTTGAGTTTCCCTCCGGACAATGGGGAAGGCAAGCTGGGATTGTAACCGGAGCGGGGGATAAATAAAGCTGCCCAGAAGTTTCCATTACCCACACCTCAGGCTTCTGAGTGGGACATCAAAGCTGAGCCCTCTCCATCCCGTGCCCCCAGCCCATCACCCTGGCTCCCAGCCTGCTGTGCCCCGGGTGCCAGCGCACCGAGCCCCCTCGCCTGGCACCGAGGCCCCGGCAGCTGACGGCACTGACACAAATCACCTACAGAGCTCAGAGTGGAAAAGATGATCCGTTCGTGTGACAGTGTAGGAAAACACCCCC